ACTGCGCCACAGCGCTGGTCCCTGATAGTTAGTGTTAAGAGCATTCTTTTTTTTTTCTTTTTTTTTCTTTTTTTTAATTTATTTATTTGAAAGAGTTAGAGAAGAGAGAAAGAGAGGTCTTCCATTCTTTGGTTCACTCCCCAGTTGGCTGCAACGGCTGGAGCTGGACCTGTCAGAAGCCAGGAACCAGGAGCTTCTTCTGGGTCTTAACACGTGGGTGCAGGGTCCCAAGAACTTGGGCCATCTTCTGCTTTCCCAGGCCACAGCAGAGAGCTGGATTGGAAGAGCAACAGCTGGGACTCGAACTGATATTGAACTGCTGTCGCTGGGCTCAAGCCCCTACCTTCTAATTCCATGGTTGATCTTTGTGTTGTGGCCAGCCCCTGCCCTGAGTCAGCGTGTTAGCAACAGCCACTTACAAAGACCCACCTTGAGTCAGAGACACTTCTGTCCTCGTGAAATTTCCCAGATTTAGTGGGAACTTCCCAGGAACTGGGACAAAAAGGCCAGCCAAGCTCTTGTTATCCAGCAGTCACCAATTCTGCTTTCACAGTTTGATGATGGAAGGATGAGGCCCAGGGTGGCCATGTAACTAGCCTGTGTTGTCTGAGCTCCTGGATGGGCAGACTGTGTGTCTGGTGAGACCTACTAAATGCTTAGGAGTTGCTGTGTTTGAGTGATTTTTTTGAGAGTTTCCTTATTAAAACATGGTTAGTGGTTTGGGCTCTTTAATAATTTTGCTTAAATCGATACGAGGATTTGGGGCCTTCATATGTACTTGATAGTATGATAGTTACTTTACCAGAATCCTTAGGTAGACAAATGCCGATTAACAGTGTTTTATTACCATTGAGCCCCTCATTTTCAATAGTTTTTTTTTTTTTTTTTGACAGGCAAGGTTAGACAGAGAGAGATAGGTCTTCCTTCTGTTGGTTCACCCCCCCAAATGGCTGCCATGGCCGGCGCGCTGCGCCAGTCAGGAGCCAGGTGCCTCCTCCTGGTCTCCCATGCGGGTGCAAGGTCCAAGCACTTGGGCCATCCTGCACTGCCTTCCCGGGCCACAGTAGAGAGCTGGACTGGAAGAGGAGCAACCGGGACAGAATCTGGCACCCCGACTGGGACTAGAACCCAGGGTGCCGGCGCCGCAGGTGGAGGATCAGCCTAGTGAGCCGCGGTGCCGGCCTTTGAGCCCTTCATTTTAATCTTTGAGTGAGGTTTTAGCCTGTACCAGAGGCCTCTAGAACACTTTTCTTAGGTTTTATTAATTGCAATATTTTAAATTTGAATTTCTAATAGTTCTTTTAGGTACCTAGGAAAGTTGATTGTATTCCCAGTGAGTTTTCTTTCCAGAATTAGAAATGTAAAAAAAAATTTATTCTTTTTCTCAGTGTTTTAGCATGAGGATTTTCAAACATACAGAAAAGCTGAACTAGGCAATTGAACATGTATTTTCACCATCTAGATAACAGGAATTTCAAGTATTTTGCCATATTTTCTTTCTTTCAAGATTTATCTATTTGAAAGAGTAACAGAGAGAGAAAGAGACAGAGATTCCGTCTGCTGGTTCACTCCCTGAATGGCCGCAACAGCTGGATATGGTCCAGGATTTGACAGGAGCCAGAAAAGTTCATGCTGGTCCCCCACATGGGTGCCTGGGGGCCCACATACTTCAGACATTTTCATCATCTGCTGCCTTCCCAGGCACATAGCAGGAAGCTGGATTAGAAGCAGAGCAGGATGCACTCAAGCCAATGCTCTGATACGGGATGTGAATATGGCAAGGAGTACCTTTTTGGGCTGTGCCACAGCACTGGTCCCTGTCATCCTGTCTCTGCTTATTTCTAATAATGTTTTAGGAATAAGCTGCAGGCTTTTGAGTACCTCTGTGGTAAACCACTGGGTTGCTGTGGCTACTCTTATTCCTTTACATAATCTTCCTTAGACTTTTATTTAATTTTTAAAAAAGAATATTTATTTGAAAGAGATTGTTATCTGCTTTCCATCCTCTGGTTCACTCCTCAAATGACCACAGTGGCCAGGGCTGGTCCAAGTTAAAGCCAGAAGCCAGGAACTCTATCCAGATCTCCTACTTGGGTGGCAGGAGCCAAGTACTTGGGCCATCTTCGCTGCCTTCCATGGTGCATTAACAGGGAGCAGGGTCAGCCTCATTCCTAGACTTTTAAAGTGAAATTTCCTGTACATAAGAAAATTGAAATTGTAATTGAGTGGCCCAACTTATCTGTCAGGATTTATTTGCTGATGTTTTGCTGTCCTAACATTTTTCATTGTAGGCCTTTCAAAAGTTGCCTTAGATTCCAGATACTGTGACTTTTTTTTTTTTTTTTTTTTTTGAAACGGGGAGAGAGATATCTTCCATCCATTGGTGCTCTAATTGCTGGGAACTCCATCTGGGTCCTTCTACATGGATGGCAGGGATGCAAGTACTTGACCACTTTCCACTGCCTTCCCAGGCACATTAGCAGGGAGCTGGACTGGAAGTGGAGCAGCTGAGACTCCAGTTTTCATTACAGTATGGTTTGAAAGAGTTACACAGAGAGGGAGAGACAGAGAAATCTTGCATCTGCTGGTTCACTCCCCAAATGACCACATTGGCCGGGTTAGGCCAGACCAAAGTGGAGCTTCTTTCCAGTCTCTCACACAGGTTCAGGGGCCTAAGGACTTGAGCCATCCTCTGGTACTTTCTTAGGCACAGTAACAGGGAGCTGGATTGGTATTGTAGTACCCAGGACTTGACCGAGTGCCCATATGGGGTGCTGGCTTTACAAGCGGCGCTTCATCTGCTTTGCCACAATGCCGGCCTTGGCAGCAACCATTGTGATATATGTAGTTTCTGCTTTGAGGTTATACTGCTTTTATATCTGAAATACTCGTTTCTTAACCTTTTTTTGGACACAGTACATTATCAGTGATTTCTGTGGTACCCTGTCCTTTGTGGGAACAATCTGTGTGTTTATTTTTAAAATAAAAAATCTACCAGCAGTGCTCCTTGTAGTGTATATGAGTTTGACCATGTTATTTTAACTTCTGAGATGCAGTTTTTAAATATCCCAAGGAGTCAGCATTAATACAGGTAAAGCACTTACAACAGTGCTTGAAAGTGAGTACTCAGTAAACGTTCCTTTTTATGGTAAGTAGTCGAGAGATTTTTTAATTCCCTTTAAGTTTGTTATAAAGAAAGAGAAATTGAGATTTTAAAGCTTAAATGTGTGACACATTTTAGATTGTTTAGCAAAATTGCGAGCAGTAATATTTTGTTGTATTTAATAAAGATAGACTTAGCAGAGGAAAAGCCAGAATCTTTTTTTTTCCCTGTTTTTTTTTTTTATTATTTGTTTAAGATTTATTTATTTAGGGGCGCTAGTTCAATTTCCAGCTGCTCCACTTCTGATCCAGCTCTCTCTATGGCCTGGGAAAGCAGCAGAAGATGGCCCAAGTCCTTGGGCCCCTATACCCGTGTGGGAGACCTGGAAGATGATCCTGTCTTCAGATAGGTGCAACTTCAGTCATTGTTGCCATTGGGGAGTGAACCAGTGAATGGAAGACCTTTCTCTCTGTCTCTCCCTTTCTTTGTAACTCTGCCTCTCAAATATATAAATAAAATCTTTAAAAAAACCAAGATATTTGAGCAACATCTCCCACCCCTTATTCAAGGCTATCTTTTAGGTGTTTATTTAAAGTTTATTTATTTATTTGAAAGGCGGGGTTAAGACAGAGAGAGAGTTCTTTCATTTGCTGGTTCACTCCCCAAATGGCCACAACAGTCAGGGCTGGGCCAGACTGAAGCCAGGATCCTGGAGCTTCATCTGGGTCTTCCATGGAGATGGCAGGCGTCCAGGTAATTGTACCATTTTCCACTGCTGTCTCAGGCACATTCATAGGAAGCTGCATTGGAAGTGAAGTGGCCAGGACTCATACCAGCACTCATGTGCAGGCACTGTAAGTGGTGGCTTACCCTATGCTGTGCCACAATGCTAGTCCTATTTTTAACTTTTATTTCTGTTCTTTGAGAAATAATTCCCACCTGCTGGTTCACTCCCCAAATGCTGGAACAGCTTGGGTTGGTCCAGGCTGAAGCTAGGTGCCAGGATCTCAGTCTCAGTATCCCACATGGGTGTCAGGGTCCCAAGTGCTTGAAGCTGGAAACAGAAGCGGAGATGGGACCTGAACTTAGGCGCTCTAAAAGGGAAACAGGTGTCCCTAAATGGCATCTTTAAGCACTGTACCAAATGCTCACCTGGGAAACTGCAGAAAATTATTTCTGAGATAAGCTTATATCTGCTAGTGAGAAGGGTGTGCATTTTTGAATATTAATAAGCTAAAATGTTTAACACCACAGGACAAATTTGTTAGGTTAATTTGTGTAGATGAAAATTTTCCTGAATCTTTGAAGGAGTTTTTTGAAGAGGAGCTGAGAAAGGGAATGGAGTCACAGGATTTTTATAAAATTGGTAGGTAGTCCAATGTTAAATGTTTGCCGATGAGAGTATTCTATTAGTGAGAGGGTCATTCATTTAGATGATACGGAGTAACTTAACACGGCCCAGAGACCAGTTAATTCACAGGAACAACAAGGGCTCGGCAGTTGGCTCTGTTGGGTGGTGCTGTGAGTGAGGAGCCTTTAGTTTTCCTCACTTGAGAACCGAGACTGTAAATTTGAAGTGGAATTCAGTATGCGTTTTTTTTAATCATATTTTAGTGCGTTAGGTTGTAAGTGAAGTAGGAATGGAGTTGGGAGAAAAAAGTGGAGAGAGAGAGAGAGAGAGTGTGTGTCCCTCTTACAGGCTCTGTTGTCTGCTTTTCTCGCTTCTACCTTGTTCTGGTTTAGGAGCAGCGTAGGTCTTAGGGAAATAAAATTAATTGATTTGTGGGAAAGTGCATTTTAGCGAATACTTATATTTAAAATGTTATGTTTCATAGCTCCCCTGGTGTGCTTTTTACTCATGATGCTCTAGTAATGAACTGTTTTCACTATTTTACAGAGAGCTTGTGATTTCATGGAGTTTTGTTGAACTTGCAAAGGAAACATTTGGATAGTGGATTAATGAGAACACTGAAATTCTTTGGAAAGTTTCAAATTGGAGGATATTGAATTTTCACCCTAGTCCAGCAGCTCTGCTGCTCACTTAAATGCAGATGAATGAAGACCCCATTCGGAAAGACACCTGGCCAGCGGTCCAGAGCTGATGCAGGTAGGCAGTATGGCTCTGAACATGTTCCAGTGTGATGAACTTAAAGCAGGTGTGAAATTGAGAAATACTTTGACATAATGTCTGGTGTTTTGCTATTCCCGAAGCTTGCTTCTTTCTAGTATTGTATACACATATGTGTGAAAAAACAGATTGAGTTTCTTGAAAGGGAAGGATTATTCCCCTTTGGTTCTTGTTTAAGCTTCTAGCAAGTTATAGTAAATTCGCAAGTGAATTGTAAATACTTATTTAATAGGAGGATAGTAAAGTGAAGGTTTTTTTTTTTTTTTAAGAAATGAAAGCAAGGTGTTAGATGGGTATTGATTTGAGAGATTTAGGATATTTAGAGCAGCTTTAAGGAAGAAAGATAAATTCAAGAGCTGTTTATTTGAAGGAATACTAGAATGCAAATGAGATGAGTTTTTAGTTGCAACAATGTTTATTTTGGTGACATAAAGCTAATACAATTAGAAATTTGAATTCTGCTCGATAATTACTGCCCAATAGAGAAAGATAAAACCTAATAGGATACACTACAAAATAAGCAAGTGGTATTTCCTTTGGAATTTTATTGTTGTTCTCCAACGCAGATAAACACTGGAATGTTGGGAGGAAAAATTTGTCATACTATTTTAAGATTCTTTGTTACGTGAATCTGAGAATTATGCTAGCAAAATTATTACTAGTGTTGCAAAACCGGTTATGGTGTGATTTTAGAACTATCTCTTATATTTGTTTACTGTGCTATTTGGAGTTTTTTTGTAAAAAAATCCACAAGGATTAAGATTTCTAAGTATCTTTTATGTTTTTATGTTAGCTCTGTATAAAAGTAATACTGATGTAAATGTTTGCTATGGGGCCAGCGTTGTGGCCTAGCAGGTTAAGCTGCTGCCTGTGATGTCAGCATCCCATATGGGCTCTGGTTCAAGTCCTGGCTGCTCTACTTCCACTCCAGTTCCCTACTAATATGCCTGGGAAAGCAGTGGAAGAGAGCCCTCTGCACTCATGTGGAAGACCCTAATGGAGTTTCAGTCTCTTGGCTTTGGCCTGGTCCACTCTTAGCTGTTGTGGCCTTTTGGGGATGGAAGATAAATCTCTCTTTGTTTGCCTGACTCTAATTCTGCCTTTCAAATAAATAAACTTTTTTTTAAAAGGTATTTATCCAAAAGATTAACTTGTGATAGTGATGACTGAAGTCTAGTCACCATCTGGAGAGCTTACTCAGAGTCCCCCTCTCAGCTGTGTCTTCTCGAGCCTTTCTTTTTCTTACCTAAAAATGCATCTATTGGAGTTCAGGAATAAATGAGGGGATAATATGTCAGAAGGTTATGTGCCCTGTGCATTTAATAGCATTATTATTACTTATACTGTTTATAATAAAATAATTTTTGTTTTATCACATTAATTAAAAAATGGCTATTGGATTTTACTGACTGAAGAAAGCTCCTAGGTCAGTGTTATGTGAAATAGTAATTCATTGTCTGAAGTTCCTTTATGTACACCATTCCAAACTCAATGTTCCTGTTTTCTTCATTGTGTTTGACATTCTTCTCATTTGTTGGAAAGCTGTTGTAGTGTATAAAAATCACAGGAAAGCTGTTCTAGTGTGGTAAAAAAAAATCACTGAAAGTACACCGGGGGTGTTAATTTTTTAAAGGAGAAGGTTGTGAATCCTAACATGTTTGATCTTACATATTGTTCTTCAGTTTTTTTTTTTTTAAGATTTATTTATTTATTTGAAAGGCAGAGTTGCAGAGAGAGAGAGGTGTCTTATATCCGCTGGTTCACTCCCCAACGGCCATAGCTGAGCCAATTCAAATCTAGGAGCCAGGAGCTTCTTGCAGATCTCACACGTGGGTGCAGGGGCCCAAGAGCTTAGGCCATCCTCCACGGCTCTCCCAGGCGATAGCAGAGAGCTGGATTGGAAGTGGAGCAGCCATACGAGATGTTGATACTAGCAGGTCGGTACTAGCTTTACCCGCTATACCACAGTGCCGGCCCCCTCAGTATTTCTTAACAGCTTGCGACAGTAGATTGTGGTTAACCTGTTAACTCTTTTGGAGACCATGGGTTATTCTTTTTTTAAAGATTTTATTTATTTGAGAGCTAGAGTTACAGACAGAGGTAGAGACAGAGAAAGAGAAAGATCTTCTCTCCTTTGGTTTATCCCCTAAATGGCTGCAGTGGCTGGAGTTGCGCCGATCTGAAGCCAGGAACCTCCCATTCTCCCAAGTGAGTGCAGGGGCCCAAGGACTTGGGCCATCTTCTTCTGCTTTCTCAGGCCACAGCAGAGAGCTGGATTGGTAGAGGAGCTGCCAGGACTAGAACCAGCGCCCATATGGGATGCTGGCGCCACAGGCGTAGGATTAACCTATTGCGCCAGGGCACCGGCCCCAGGAGTTACTCTTTTTTACTGTTTCATAGTTATGGAGTAAAAAGTAATTTTACCATATACTTAGGTTATTTAAAAAATTTTTTTTTTCTGTTTATTTGAAAGTGTTAGAGGGGGCAGAGACAGAGAGAGAGATCTTCCATCTGCTCTGAGTTCACTCCCCATATGTAATGGTTAGAACTGAGCCAGGAACCAATAGCTTCTTCCAGGTCTCCCACGTGAGTGCAGGGGCACAAGGACTTGGGCTATCCTCTGCTGCTTTCCGAGGCACGTTAGTAGGTAGCTGAATTGAAAGTGGAGCAGCCAGGACTTGAACCAGTGCCCATATGAGATGCCAGTGCTGCAGGCTAGGGCTTTAACTTGCTGTGCCACAGTGCCAGCTCCTATACTTTCTTATATAATCAATACAGCACCACACCTCTGGTCACCAAAATGTGGAGTAGGGGAGCTTCTCCTTATTAGCAACCAATTAATTCTGCATTGGATGTCAGCAGGATGTCCTGCAATTCCATTCTTTTTTTTTTTTATTTGACAGGTAATGTTATAGAAAGTGAGAGAGACAGAGAGAAAAGTCTTCCTTCCATTGGTTCGCTCACCAAATGGCTGCTATGGCTGGCACTATGCCGATTCGAAGCCAGGAGCCAGGTGCTTCCTCCTGGTCTCCCATGCGGGTGCAGGGCCCAAGCACTTGGGCCATCCTCCACTGCCCTCCCGGGCCATAACAGCGAACTGGAGCAACCGGGACTAGAACCTGGTGCCCATATGGGATGCCGGCACCACAGGCGGAGGATTAACCAAGTGAGCTATCGCGTCAACCCCTGCAATTCCATTCTGACACTCTCTATCTAGAGATAACATATCAGACCCCACAGGTTGAATGAAGGTTCAGTCTGTAAGACCACCCCCCTTCAGAGGACAATTTGGGATTCTGGGCACTTCTGGCTGATAGGCTATAAGTTAGTGTTCCCACAAACTCCTCTCTGGGATTGATTGATGTCCTAGAGCAGTTCACAGAGCTCCGGGAAGCGTTCTTATCAGTTTATGATAAAGGACATTATAAAAGAAACACGGATAGATGAGGCGCAAGATGCTAGGGGGACAGTGGGATGATTCCATGCCTTTTCTAGGCACTGCCCTGCAGGTACAGCCATGTGTTTGACAATCAGGAAGCTTTCCAAACCTAGTCCCTGTGGAATTTTATAGAAACCCCGTTAAGCAGATAGGATTGTTTATGGTATGGACCGGGTAGGGAAGCCCAGAAAGGCCTGTCTGTTCAGATTTTTCTTGGCCCCTGTTTGGTGGCATTTCTCCCTCCAGTCTGTGGGATAGGACTGGTATGAAATGAGGGGTTTGATGACCTATGTTAGACAAGGAAGGTTAGAGGAAGACAGGAAACTTGGGAGTTTCTGTGACCCATGTTGAAGAAGAGAGTTATGAGCCTGGTACTGTGGAGAAAATAAGAATTAATATTATCGATAGCAAGTACTATTGCATGTAGAGTTTTTCACATATTTTCCTTTAATGTTACCCTCTGTTTTTATTAGTTTGCCAAAGGTAGCCATATTTTTTTTCTTTTTAAAAAAGATTTATTTTTATTTGAAAGGCATAACTATAGCAAGAGGGAGAGAGAGGTCTTTCATCTGCCAGTTCACTCCACAAATGGCTACAACGGCTGGCACTGGGCTGATCTGAAGCCAGTACCCAGGAGCTTCTTCTGGTTCTCCCATGTGGTTGTAGGGGCCCAAGCACTTGAGTAATCTGCTGCTGCTTTCCCAGGTGGATTAGCAGGGAGCTGGATCAGAAGTGCAGTAGTGGGGACTCCAACCCAGCGCTCTGATACGGGGTGCTGGTATCTTAAGCAGGGGCTTAATCTGCTGTGCACATTGCTGGACTCAGAAGATAGTTTCTTGAGATCTTGCTTTGACATTGTGTTTATTTTACCCTCATGCTCAGTCCCTTAATTATAATGAAATTCTATGTTGGAAATACTTTCCAGTCAGAATTTTCAAGTTGTTACTCTATTACTTATCGTTGAGGTTCCATTACTACTATTTAGGGAACTTTGGGTATCATTTTCATTTCTCATTCTTTGTGTGTATCAAGTGGATTTTACCTCTTCTCTGAAGGCTTTTAGAGTTGTTGTGAAGCATTATGATAATTACATTAAGGAGAGTCCTTTTCACTCACTATTTCCAGGTTTTAATCTTTAGAGTAAGTTTTTAAGCAATGTAAAATTTACTTCTTTGATCATCTCCTATTTTCTGTCTTGTCTGGAACATCTTGCTTGGATATTAGGTCTCTTAGATCTCTGTCAGCCCTTTTCAATTACTCTTTGCCTGAGTCCTTTTTTTATTCTCATACTTGTTCTGCTGATACAAGTAGATTACATTTCTGAGCTTCTTCTGGATCTCCTACGTGGCTATAGGGGCCCACGGTCTTAGGCCATCTTTTCCTGCTTTCCCAGGCACATTAGCAGGGAATTGGATTGGAAGTAGAGCATCCGAAACTGTTGAAATCTTTACTTAGTATATACTAAGTTGATCTTCTGTGTATAAAGATAATTGAAAATGAATCTTGATGAAGAAGAATGGAATGGGAGATGGGATGTTTG